AACATACTACACAGGTTGTGTGACAGGTTAATGCACAGGTAGTGAGTGACAATGAGATTGAATTAAGTGAGTAATTATTTGAGTGAATAAAGAAGCACAGACTTGGAATTAGAAAGTTAAAATATTCTTATTAAATATTATGTTGCTTGTTTTAGCATAAATTACAAAACCCCTTTATTTTTGTAAATTCATAGGGTGCAAATGTTATCAGCAAAGTACTCTGGATGTGAAACAAAACCATCAGTCGGCTAAACAGACTTTCTGCAGACAACAACAACGATAATCTAAAGATTATCATCCACAACAAAGAGGGTGATGTTTCAATCAAACAGCACTTACAGTAGATTTTTTCTTGTTTATGATTAAAAGCATATACAGTCTGTCAAACAAAAGCATGACTTTTTAAGGTATTTTTAGATAATTGTCTACGAGAAAATTAAAACTAATCCAAATGGTTTGCTTAAAAGTATCTTTAATTTCCTCTCATTCTGCTTAATTTGACTCTTGTGTGCCTGGTTTACTAAAATATTCATATAACAAATATAATTTTAGTGTTCCTCCTAACAGCATTGGGGTGGCAGGTGGTGACAGTTAAATGCAGCAGTCTCAATACAAAACAGAATACACAAATTAATAGTGCTGGCACAAAAATGCAGCAGAGATCCAGGTGAATTATGAATCTGACAATGACAACAAATATGAATTATTATTATTACTATTATTGTTGTTATTTAGAGTTTTATTCTAAATAAAAAACATGTTTTAATAATCCAATTTGGGGATTCTGCAGCACCCTGGACCCTTTTCGCTCTCTGCCTTTTGTCAAACTGTAAAGAGTTTTGGTCAGAGCGGGCTTCCGTCTTCTTTGCAAAGGAAAAATGGTGTCCTCGATGTGGTTCCGCTGTATATTTGGGCCTCATCTTCAGCGAATTCACAGACCTCCGGACCAGTCTCAGACCGGGAGAAGATCGGACAGAAGGGTAGGAATGGACAGACGATTTCTGAGTTGTTTTAGAAGCGCGGAGTTCAAAAATTTGGTTTGGTTTTTATCGCAGTTTCAAGTGTTTGTTATTGAAACCTTTGCTGTCACCATCTCTCGAAATGACAGTTTGTAATGAATGAATGACAACACATTTTTATTTATAATTTTTAATGTTTTTTTCCGGTTTTACCTTGTAAGTAAGAATCGATCTAACTGTAGCTTCTTAGCACTGGCTGTGGCCCGGTCTGTTTCTTTCATTTAAAATTGATTGATTCACGTAGTCAGTGTTGCTTAGAGGGGGGAAAAAAAAAATATATATATATATATATTTTTTTTAATTAAGGAAAAATGTTTTAACTAAGAACAAATATACTACTTTTGGAGAAAAAATAAAAAAATATGTTAGAATATCTGTTTAAATATAGATATTAGGGGCAATGCTAACAGCTAAGCTAACGTCAGAGGAGACCGGAAGTCGTTATCTGCAGCCATAAAATATTTACTGTAAAGAACTTTGTTTTTAACAGGGATGGACGTACCATCCCAGGGGTCTGGAAAAACACACTGACAGCATTCTTGGTTGGGTCAGTATTACAGTATTTTGTTTTATATTATAGACAGAAGTTGATAAAGATCATTTTGAATTAATTTGTGTTTTCTAACTTCAGGCTTCAGTTCTGTGGTCCCTGTCCTACTACACCTCCCCTCTTCTCCTCTGCTATCTTTACAGAAAAGGTTGGTTGTTTAAAATATAGCTTGTAGGAAACATTAAGTTCAACCATGCTCAGTTCTAAAATTACGTAATAAAAGGAAATAACAATCAATCAACCTTTGGCCCAAACATGAATCAAAATACCGATAGATGAAATTGAAGTCAATCAACAACTCGCCTATGAATGAATAATTTGTGTGGATTGTACTGTCACTTGAATGTTTGTGACATTTAAAAATACTGCTGTTGTGTCACAATTGTTTAATCCTTGATAGATCAAAACGCTCATTTGCCTATTAAATAACTGAGTTTCTGCAAACCAAAGGACTAATTTAAGATCTCAGTCTGACATCAGTGCTATTTTGCTGTCTCACATTTCAAAGAATAAAATAAAGACCTGGATTATGATTAAATTCATTGTAACTCTTTTGTCCCGTTTGTCCTGTTTGCTGATTAGTTTTTATGAAATTTGGCTTGATAGATATAATCGTGCTGGCAAAAAAAGGAATTCTACCTTTAGTATCTTACATTAGTTAAAACCATTTACATCTTAAGTAATTATTTGAGATGCTGTTGTGAATAAATTGATTATCTTTTATTACTCTTACTAATATAAAAATAATACATTCTCTAAGACTGGATGAAATTTATACAGTATATAGTCTTAATTAAATACTTTCTTAAATATATTTTTCCCAACATTTCATAAACATTGAAGAATACAGAAGTATAATAAAATTGACTCGTTCACATATGTGGAAAAAAAAAAGATTTTCTAGATGTCATTGATCTGATTCTTGCTTTTGGAAATAGTAAAATGTTTTTTTCTTATGGTGTGTGTGTATATATATATATATATATATA